TAGCTAGATGATATAGGGTTTTTTTTTGGTCAGATGATTGCAGTTTTGTAAAATAAGCCTCTCTCTGCTCTGAGAGCACTAAGAGGCCCAATGATATAAATTCAAACCTATATCATCTAGCTGCAGTGCCTAGCATCTTATTCACTTGGCTATCACCACTCTGAGGCGTGACACTTGCAAAGACTTATAATAAGCTAAACACAAAATTTTTACAGGTCCAGTTTTTCGAAGTGATTGAGAAATGGGATCCTATTATTTGGACAAGGTGCTGCTTGTGTTTAAGGTTTGTGCTCACCAAGTTTTGTTTGAATCGGAGACCAAACATTTGGCCCTCTTGTTAGCAATAGGAATTATTTTGAATAATTTTTTAATGAATAATTTCAAATAACATATTTGATCACAATGTTTAAACAGTGTTTTGCATGTTCTGTCATGTCAAAATTTTTGTTTTAGTCTACTGAAAAAAGATCAAAGTGGAAAGAAAGTCATCCCAAAAATTCCTTAAATATTCTGTCAGTCAATAAAAAATCCCCAATCTGGAAACACTGGGCAGCATCGCACAAAACTACCTTCAGTTCTCAACATCACTTCCTACTTTTCTGCCCAAACTTGCCGCGTGATGTCATGAAATCCCTAGGTGCACAGGACTCCCATTGTATGGAAGCTTGACATTTTGCTGTTTTTCCTGAAGTGTGATCTGTAATTTGATTTCATGCTGAATGTTGAAATGAGCAGAGTAGGGTTTTTATCATCAATCGCAATTGTCAGTATTATATTTTTATTGCCATTTTAATAAAAATATCACCAAGTGGCAATTTTGGCACTATGCAGTATGACCCCTGCATATATGTTTCATTTGAAAATTTAAACTATCAGTTGATAAATAAGTTCTTCAAAATTTCAAACCAGATGTTATGCAAGAAAACATCTGGTTGGAGGAAAGCTCTAAGCTTTCATTTTATTTTTAAATTAGTTGATCATTTTTATCACAGTACTTTTTTACACATGACAAAATTAAAATAAAAATATTTGTTATTAACTGAAAATTTGTTCTAACATCTCGTGATTGTTTTGTCAAGTACCAAGGTACCACTGTATTTGTTTAAAGATATTTTACATTTAACATGATTTTGATATACACGGTAGCATTGAGGGATTAACTGTGTTAATCAAAGGATACCTGTAAAAAAGGGGGCTTATATATATTTATATATACTGCATGCACACATGCTCCTTTTTTATAGTCTGCAAGCACCACTATTCATTGCACCGAATGTTATAATTAAGAATTTATTTTTCAAAATTAAAAAAAAAAGTTTTGTGAAAAAAGTCTTGGGAGGTCATTTTTGACCATTTCTATACTTTCTTTCTGTTACAACAGCTGGAAAAGTAAAAATCATATTTGTATTTTCACATAAAAATTTCTCTTTATTCAAAAAGAAAATTTGAAAATTAATATTGTTACAAAAGTAACCTTGCATTGAGAAATCTTATGTAATTTATTTGGATTTAAGATTCTTAAAGTATTTAAAAGTATTTATTTTTGTTTTTGAAAGCATGTTTGTTTATAAAACAGCAGCAAAACAAAAAAACTACATATATAGAAACAGGTATGAAATTTGATATATCTAAAAAAAAATATTGAAACTAAAGTCAAACTATAATAAGAAAAGAAATAACAATAGAAAAAAATATTAATTAGTAATTTTAAAAATCTGGAAACCGTTAATAAAAGAAAAGTATAATTATTATATAAATATGTAAATAATTTTTGAATTAAATTATATGATTAAATATTGAAATGTGGTTTTATTCAAACTGCTTGTTTTTTAAGTGGAAAATTGTTTAGAGAAGCACTTTCAGGCTATGTACCTGTCATCAGAAGTTGACACCATAAGAAATATGATGATAGATGTATAGCCTGAAAGTACTTGACACTTCTGAAAAGATTTTTACTCCAAGAAAAAGTTTGAATTGGATTTACTTTTTCAGGAGCTTCTTTAGAAAGTTTATCAAACATTGATTTTTACTTTCTCCATATTTGATTTTACTCAATATAAATTATAATTAAGAAAATCTCTTTTTATTATATTAATAAAAAGAGATTTTCTTAAACCTCTCTTCAAAATTTAATTTCTCTATAATATTTTATACTGACAAATTCATTTGAATAACACAAATTTAATTCAAGAGTTAATTTTCACAGCTTTTCAATTTTTCTTTTATTCTATCTGCATAAAATTTTGCATATTATTCTATTATCACAAAAATACCATAAATTATTTACATTTTAAAGAATTTTAAAGTTTAGAATTTTTATAGGATAGTTACTTAACAATAATGAGATCTGTATTTGTAATTGTAACAAAAAAGTGATCATTGATACTTATTCATTTCTGATTTTATCTTTTAATGTTTTTAAGTATTAAGTTCTGTAAATTGAAGTTAATAACATACAGTATAATTAAAGTTCGATAGATACTTATTAAACATTACGTCTGTAATATCTTATCTTATGTTTTATCAGATTTTATTCTGTTGTTATTTAGGAATAGTGTATTTTCTTGAGTAAATAAAAAAAATATCTGGAATGGATAATAAACCTTTTTGTAACTATAACCAAAATTTGTGTATTTAATTAAAAAAAGAAGTGATTGCTTAGTTTTAGGATCCAAAAATATTATGTAGTATTTAATAAAAAATGAAATAAATTAATATTAAATGGTATGAATTTAAAAAAGCAATAACAAGAAAAATATTCTGTAAAAAAATCAAACTTTACACAATCAAGTCATCATAAACATATTCTTCTTTTGTGACTTATCTGCTCTTGTTAGTTTCTTATTACTATATTCAGAATTTCATCAGTATTATGATATATTATAAAACATGATACAACCAAAGGTTTCTGTTTTATAAATATTATACTTAAAAAAAATATATATCACGTTTTTATGTTTCGGATATGTTTAACCTGCAAATCTCAGGTTTGTCTCCTTAACAAAATATACTTCTCTAACACTGAAAGTGTAATATCTTCAGACCACTGAACCTATTTAGCTTCCAGCAAACGTGTAAAATGTATCAATTAATCTAGAATCTGATATTGCAAATTTTATTCCCTCTGTCCATGAAATAAAACTATATAATAATGTTATTCTTTTACAATATCTGCATTTGATTATTGTTTAAGTAAATTTTTTTGTTTTTTTTTTCTTAGAAAAGTTAGTAGTTGGCATTTAATTTAAAAATATGTATATTTATAAGTCTTATGCTTGAAATGTTGATTCTATTTCTTGAGACAGATCTCCTTTTGAGTTGATTTTTTTGTTGTGAATTGGAATTGGATGAAAGACACACAGCTTTACTTCTAAATATAATAATGTAACACCTGATACAAAAAATATAACCACATAGAAAAATAGCTTTTTAAATTGATTTCTTCAATAAAAATCAAATATTTATAATTAAGAATAATTAAGAAAAAACTAAGCTAAATTTAATTTTTTTAACATAAAATACCAAACAAAATGCCTGATATTATTTGATAAGTTACTACCCTTTTTTTATGATTTCAGATGGACCTAATTAAAAAAAGGAAATAAAAGGTTACTTTAATATTATAAATAATTAACGTCAT